GGGGCCACAGCCCCTAAAAAAAAAATCCCTCCTAAAAAAAAAAAAAAAAAAAAAAGAAAGAAAGAAAAATACATTGCACTTAGCAACCTCATATATATACACATACATGCACCAAAAAAGTTAATAGTATAATCTCAGACCTTATAACATGGAACATATTCTCTTTACTTTTTAAAAAAAGTTTCTTTTTCCCATAGGGCATGTGCTCTTGCCAGAGAGAGGCAGAGAGAGGGAAAGTGAGAAATCACCCCTCAGGGGATGGCCATGCTGCAGTTCTGTCTTCAGTCTCCTTCCAGGATTTTGGGCACACACACACACCAGCATGCTATTCAAGTCATTAAGTCTGGGCCTCAAACCACGGTTGACCGTGTGGGAGTCCAGCACCTTAACCACTATACCACCTGCTAGCCCCTATTTTCCTTCATTTTTAAAATTCTGTGAGCCACCTACAAAAATATCAAGCAATATAGAATTTAGACAACTATTCCTGAAATTGAATATTATCCTGTAATTTAAAATGATGATTAGGTATTTCATTTTTGACCTAAAAATGTCTCAACATGAATAATAAGAGAAAAAAGTAGGTTATGAAAGAATACACATATTTTTATTCAGCTTGTTTAAAACTAAAGTGCGAAGAGCTACATATGTCCAAAAGTTAACATTTTCTTCTTCTTTTATTTAAATTTTATTTATTTATTTATTTATTTACATTTTTATACATTTTCTTCTTTTGACTGCTTATTGCATTGTCTGCAAATTTATAATTGATGCACATATTTTAAATCTATAGGACCAAAACTTATTGAGCATATATTATGTATGCCAAGCCTTAGAGTCAATACTCTACAAATATTATTTCACTTAATCCTCTCTACAACCTAAAAGAGTATAACCAACCTATTTTATAGAGACAAACTTGAGGCTTAGAAACTCAAAGTAAATGACTTAAGGTTATAGTTAATAAAAAGCAGAGCTGAAACTCAAATCCATCTGCCCCTGACAACGAAGTTCATGCATTTGTTGGGGGAGAGGCTGCCTTATAGAGAGCATAGCTGGTATATAACAGTTAGAACTGGCTTAGATGTCACCATAGACAGCAAACAGCCCCAAACAACGAAGAATTAGATCAAAGAATTTTTTTCTTTTTTCTTGCTCATGCTGATTATTCGTGTTGGCTCTCCTGGCACCTATACTCCACATTACCTCATCCCAGGACGTGATAAAGGAGTAGCCACCATATAGACACCTGCTAGGTGCTGGAAGAGATGGAAGAGAGAGTGGCTAGTCTCCATAGTTTCATACTTTTCTGCCTGGAGGGGTCAGGCTTCACCTTCACTCACATTTCATTGGTCAAAGCAAATCACATGGCTCCATCTAATTTCAGGCAGGTTAGGAGAAACTGAAGTGCTCCATGGACCCCAGTAAGGCCACCACATGGTGTGTGTGATGGTGTTTAGGGTAAAAGAGGCAAGTGGGGACTTACTGGGAAACAGCAGCAGAATGAAACTAACTCAGGGTGGATTTGCTGTATCCTCACAACCAGGTGGAGTTTGTCTCAGAGCTGCCCAAAACCGTCACTGGCAAGATTAAACGGAATGAACTTCGGAAAAAGGAGTCGGGTCAGATGTAACCAGCAATAAGCTCAGAACCTGCAGCATGACCTTGGGGACATTCCTGTTAACCTCAGTTTTTCCACTACAGTAGGGCTATTGAGAGAGATGACTTGGAAGGGTTTCAGGAGCACCAAAATTCTGACATTTTTGTTCTTAAAGGTAATTTCAGTCACTGTGCTTCCTGCAAGTTCTCTATTCCTTTCAGATTGCACAGTTGAGTGCTTGGGTTGACCGAGAGGTAATAAAATACTAACACCAACATCAATGGTGTCTCCAAGTCATAAATTTATTCTGTGAGTAAACCAATACTAAACACCTTTTCTCTATAATTCTCCCTAATGCCATATTTGAAGTCCAATTCTCCCTGCTGACCCCAGTACCTCAGAGTTACCCTGAGCACCCATATGATAGTCAGAACCCAGAGGTCCAGGAACGATACCTCACCTAGCTCCAGGCACCTGCGCCTGCTTGGTTCTGCCAGACCGTTCAGAAGATGAGGTCCCACTGGGCTGGTGCAGGGGCTGGAAGTGTCCAGAAATGCTGATATCTTTAGAAGTTCAGCTCAGGACAGGGCCTGGGAAAGATGATCATCAGTGAGGTTTTGTCCTCATCACCTGGGCCCCTATCTGCTTGGCACTTCCCACATGTCATTCTTGGTATTTGCTTTGCTCTCTGGATATTATTGCTAGATCCCTTGGGAGGGAAACTGAAGTACTTTCTCTCTCAAAATGTACTCATTCTTTGGAGATCCTAGAAGGTCAATCATGAGAGTCAGCTTGGTCCTTTCCTACCACATGATTTAGGTTTATAATTTAGAACCCATGCTAACAGGCAGGTAGAATGATATAGATAAGTAAGACATCTATCATGCTTGATGATCCAGAAGTTAACATGTCTGTGTTAACTAGAAATTATTTGAGACCACACAATCTTGTTACACAAAGTAGAATTTCCAGGCCAGAGAGAGGCATTAAAATTAGAAATTAAGATGAGGTAGTTTCTACTGACTCTACAGAAATAAGAGGATTGAAACCTGGAAGCTTTTATTCTAAGACCAGGATCAAGGCAAGGATGCCCACTTTCACTTCTTCCATTTGATTGAATACTAGAATTCCTAGCTAAAGCAATTAGGCAAGAAAAAGTAATGCAAGTTATACAGATTGGAAAAAAGGAAATAAAATGATCTCTTCATAGATCATGTGATGTCACACGTAGAAACACATTCATCCCATGTACACTATGTTTTGTCTATCTTATTGAGTTTAGCAAGTGTTTCTGAGAGTCACTCATGTTGCATAAAGCAGAATACAATAAGTTTCTATTGCTGAGTTATAGTCTGTTAAATTACTATTTGTTTAATGTACTGTCTTCAATGAAACATTAAAAATTAAGGTACCAAGCACGTGGAACAGTTATCAGGAGCAGTCTGAACCTACTGGGTGGATGTCTTTGTCTTCATTTACATAGGATGTATAGAATTACAGTCATGAATCTTAGAGAAAACACAGTCTAGTGTGATCTTCATTAACACCACTTGAGCTTTATTTATACTAAAAGTTGATTATTGTTATTATTTTTTTAGAGAGATTTTTTGCTGCAGGGTGCATGTGCTCCCTGGAGAGACAGACACAGAAACAGAAAGTGAGAAATCACCTGCCAGGTTGGGGTGGGGATAGCCGTGCTGCAATTCCTGCTCTTCCATTTTCCTCTTGGGACTTTGGGGACACATGCACACACGCCTGGCTTTAGTTTCAAGCCGCCGAGTCCAGAACTTGAACTGTACTCAGCCATATGGGAGTCCAGTGATGTAACCATTGCACCATCTGCTAGTCTCAAAAGTTATTTATTTCTTAATAAGTTTTTTTTCTTTATTGGATTTTTACCTTATGCTGCTCTCTCAATATAATTTAAAAATCAACTTATCAAAGAGAAAAGTGTGATTCAGAGGAAATTCTGCACAGCATTATACCAGAAGAGGATAGAATTCATGATGGATAGAAATTTGGATCTGCTTAAGGATGCTCACATTCACAAAGTATAGCACACACACATTTCATTGTTGTGTAGTCAGTCCCCAGAACTTTTTCCATTGCAACAATGAAACTCTTTATCTTTTAATAAACTCCAAATTTCACCCTACTCATAGTCCCTAACAACAGAGAAAGAACAATTTTCATTGAAATTTTTAATAATCTACCCATGTTTCCTATACCCTTATAAATACAAACCCACATTTCACACAATTAAAGGAGTACTATAAATTAATTTTAAAAAATACATTATAGTTCCTTCCTCTTTAGAAATAATTTGATTCAAACAATCACCAAACAGGTGACAGAAAATAGATTTTGTTCTGGTATCATTTTATCACGATTTAAAAGGCACCTATTATTATTTTTTTTTCTGTGTCCAACTTTCTTTTTTGCTTCTGTTGAATTCTTTTTATTTTTTTATTTTATTATTTTTTTCATTTTATTTTCTTCCATACATTCAATCACATTATTATTTGTCTTACAAAATGGATATTTAAACAGGTGAACATTTCTCCCTAGTACTGTTGATAAAACTATGAAATATCTTCAACAGATAATATCACACCTCTTTGTGCCATTAACGCTTTGAAAAATATGGAACGCTTCCCGAATTTGCATGTCATCCTTGCACAGGGGCCATGCTAATCTTCTCTGTATCGTTCCAATTTTAGTATATGTGCTGCCAAAGCGAGCACAGGTGTACTATAAATTCAAACTATTGCCATAAATTTTACCTATTTCTCTTTTTTTTTTTAAAAAAATTTTGCCAGTGGGCATGTATATTTGCATGTACACACAAGAAAAAGAGAAAGAGGACAGAGCGAGAAAAAATGTGAGAAAGCACCCCTTGTGGGGAATGATCATGCTGCAACCCTTTTTCCTCCATCTCTCCCTTCCTTTAGGATTTTGGACACTCAATGCATATGTGCCTGGCATTTTTCTCAAACTGCTGGGTAGGGACTCAAACCTTGCAGTCAACCAGCTGCCTTAACTGCCACACAACCTTGAGCATTCTGTGGTTATGATTTCTACATTTCCCTAGTTAATCCTTCTATGGCTATCTTTCTCCATTAAGTTCTATTCTTCCTTTCCTACTATCCTTAGCCTATTCACAGGGATACAGAAGCTGGATCTATCAAATGGTATGACCATTTTCATGGTTGTGACCCTTTCAGTACCCAAATACTTTCCTAAAGATCATGACGATTTACATAAACTTAGTAATATGAACCAAGTTCCTATATATTGGGGGATAGGACATTTTTTGTAACTTAAATTTTCCATTTGTAAACTTCATGTTTTTATTTCCTGGTATGGATTTGCTGTGTCCCCTGATCATTTATTTATATTTCTGTGCTAATGAGACTAAATAATATTCCAAGGTTATGACCCATCTGTGGAGTTGCAGCAGTAACATAAAGCTCTGTGATGCTGGAAGCCATATGGGTGATCAAGAGTTTGGTTTCCCAGTAAGCTTGTACACACCAGTTGTGCATGAACCTGGCTGTCTGGGAAAGGCAGGGGAAGATCACATATGACACCCTGATGAGAGTGCTTGTCTTTCTTGTTTATTCTCTTCCTCTCTCAGAAAATTTGGGGATATAAGTTCTCTTAAAAAAGGGTGGTGGACATTTAAATATAAACTGGTTCAGTTCCTACAAAAGGCAATGTAGTAAAATTAGACATACAAATATCCTTCGACACGTCAATTTCATTGGAAAAAAGTAAAAAATTAGTATACAGATAGGCCATTTTACTCACCCAGAAACCAAAGTAAAGCCAGCAAACTATGCAATCTGAACTTTACAATGTCCTGGGCTACCCAGCTCTGATGCCAGATTTGTGGATGAGAAAACGGGGTCAAAGCAGGAGTAGAGGCAGGGATCAATATATATCAAGAAGAAGCTTGTCATGAAACGTTATCCAATTTTTCATTCATCATGTCCATGGGAGAGCTTGGACAGGCCAGGCTCTGTGCTGGGGTCCAGTAGGTGCTCAGGCTCAGTTCTTGCCTCAAAGAGCTCACAGTGGGCTGGAGAGGCAGACATGAAGTTGCCATGTGACTTGAGGAAATGTCCAGGGAGTGATAGAGGGAGGTACAGGGCTGTGGGTATCCATGGTGGGGCCTTGTGGTCAGCCTGAGTAACCCCTCATCATCTCTGACAGTAGGACCTGGATCCAGGACTTTCAAGCAGTTGGATTATGTGGGAAAAATGTATCCAGGCAGCCAAGTGAGGGACTGGGAGGATGGAGAAGAGAGAAAAGCTAAAATAAAGGCATAGCAGGGTGATGACCACACTGACAGCAACTGAGGCTTCTTGCCAACAGGATATCCTAGGGATTCATCTGGAAATTGTTTCATAACTGTCCTGTCCTAGGGACAAGGGAGCAGTACTGATTCCCAGACTTCTGTCTCCTATTGGTAGAGAATTGCCCCAGGGTAGAGGGCAGGAATTAACTATTGTGTAAATCTGGGGAAGGGCCCTGTGGACTATTTGCCATATAACCTTCTTCAGGCAGACAAGCTCTTTTGGTGGACCAACCAAAGGTAACTAAAATGAAGCAAGAGGTTATTTCTGTTCATAGTCCAGATAGTCCAGGCAGCCTGTTTGCTGTGCTCAGTGTTTTTTTTTTTTTTTTTGAGAGAGAGATTTTTTTTTCTTTTGAGAGGGTTTTTACTATAGTGTGTGTGCTTGCCAGAAAGATAGAGAGAGAGAGACAGAGAGACAGAAAGCGAGAAATCACTCCCCAGGGGTTGGCCACAATCCCTTCTCCTCCACTCTTTTCTCAGAATCTTGGCCACCCACACACACGCACCTGGTGTGAGTTTTAAGCTGCATGCAGTATCTAGAATGCAAACTGCAGTTGACTATGTGGAGGTCCAGTGACATAACCATTAATACGTCTGCTGGATCCACTGTGCTCAGTCTTACTACACCTGGATTGCTGAGGTGGCTTCATTGTCTTGACCTCCAATCCTACCCCTCATACTCAAATTTCTCAAACATTCATCCCTCCCTAGTTGTTTACATGAACCATGCTCAGAATCTCCATGACATTATCTCATGAATCTCTGCTGTGTACTTGTGATGATGTTGGGTTGACCTTGACCCTCCACTTCCCAGATAAAGAAACTAGATGTTGGCAGCGTTCTCTCCATTGTAAAGAATTAGAACTTAGGTTCATAACCTTCAGCTCTAAAGCTACTTTCCCACTGATCTTCAGCTGCTTC